AGTTTGGAAACCAGCCTCTCCCTTCCCCACCCCCACCTCCTCCTGTCACCCCCTGGGCAGGGGACCTCGTGCCAGGCCCCAGCTGCCCTGGACCCAGGCAGGAAACCGGGCATCGCCCTCTGCTCTGGGGCTTAGAATTCACCAAAGTGCCCATCCCAGCCCAACCACAGGCACATGCACACAGGAGGGAGACGGCAGGAAAGGGGCGCCTGGAGCAGGGACCACAGGGTCCTGTCCCATCAGGGCCGGGGTCAGGGCCTCTGAGTGACAGGATGTGGGGGAAAGTCGCTGTATGAGGGGAGGGGGCACATTTCAGGTGAAGGTAATGCCACCTGCAAAGCCTGAGAGAACCCATGTGCCTCCTGGGAACCCAGAGAACCAACTCTGAGCCCAGACAGTGAGAGGGAGGGGACAGGAGCCTGGAGGAGACAGGTGCTGAAAGTCTGGGGGTGAGTTAGGGGGGCTTCTGCTGCATGTAAGGGAGAGCACTGAGGAGGCTCAGGGGGTTACACCCTAATCCCAATAGGGCGCCCTCTCCTTCCTGCATGTCCAACCCAGGAGGCGCAGAGAACCAGAGCACACCTGTGGTTAAAGCAGGTGGTGGATGGAAGCTCTGACCCCATCGCTGGTGTGGAGAGAGTCCCTGCAGAATGGGAGGCCTGACTGAGGACGGGGGCGCCCCACGATGCACGACTCATGGAGGGGAGACGGGGAAGGTCAGCAGAGATGAGTGACCACAACTCATGACGTTCTGACAAACATCGCAGAAGGCAAAGTATAAAGGAAGCTTTGAAACTTTAAGTGATTGAATAGGTTCAATGAGAAAGTGGTGAATTTATGTAACTGTCTAATTTTTTTTCTTAATGAACCGTGAAGAGCTGCATTGGAAGGTGGGTGTGTATAAAGTGTGAGTCTAGAATTTTCAGAAACAGCCGGTGTCAGCAGTGTTCTCACCCTCAACACTATTGACCTTTGAACCAGATGATTCTGTGAGGTGGGGGTGGGTGTTCTGTACACAGTGGGCTGCACACGGCATCCCCACCAGTTTTCAGAGACACCCCCATGTGACAGCAGACGTGGCTTTACATATTGCAGACGTCCCATGGGTGGGAAGGAGGGGATCAATTGTTTTCT